AATAAGCTGAATCATTGCTGGGAAACTCAGAAGCCAGCCAGGAACAATCCATCTTGACATTACAGATCTTTTTCTACTGTATTCACTTTGATATCAGTGTAAGCGACTCCTTTGTATTGACCCTTGGTTTCGTACTGTAACACACTGCCATTCTTGCAAGTGATCTTCACTGTGCCAGTGTACGGCAGGTCAAAACTGGCTCTGCCAATGGTGATGTGAACATCCACCTTCTTCTTTGGTGGGACTTCAACAGTGGTGGTCAGAGTTTCGTTTTTCTCATCCGTCTGCTCCAGACTATGGGTGCTTTCAACTCCAAAGCTGATACTGAATCCTGTAGAAACTTCAGCAATTTCTGGAATTCCAGCACTCACCTCCACACTGAATGTTGATGAAAAGCTCTTAGTCATAGACCATGAAGATGTTTTGATCACTTTCTTTGAGGTTTCAACTTTTTGCTCTTGCTTAACAGATGTTTTGTTCTCAAAACTGACCGACTTGATCTCCTCTGTGGCCACTTTTGGGATCAGCTGGTTGATGGTGGGATAGTTGACATTGGTGAGAACTGTTGACTGAACTGCATTGAGAAACATGAACCCCATGCAGTCGATGTCTGAACCACCTCTTCCAACAATGCCAAGACAATAACCAGAGCCGACATCCATGGGATATTCTGTTTTTAAACCCCAACTTGTCATATGTGCAAAAAATTCTCCACCCTTGTTGGTCTTGAATTTGATGGCTCCGAGACGTGTTCCTGCTCCGTTCCCCCAGAGGGACAGTGAGGTGAAACACTCTCCAGGGGTAAACACATACTCTTGATGTGATCCGGATGGTACACCAAATGTTTCATCTCTACCATCTGAAAGCCAAGCCCTGACAGCCTTGATCTGCCATCCTCCAACCCAAACCCAGATCTTCTCTAAACTGGCACCATTGTTTTCACCAGTAAATGAAAATGAAGAACCGCCTTGACCACCAATTATCTCTAGGTTTGTTGGGTAGGTCATCTCTGAAGAAATTAGGTCTGAAAATTGACATCACAAGATTAGTACTAGAATTATCATAGATAAGATAAACTATATGATGGGTTATTATATGTATATTTACTCAAGAAGATTCAATAAGCATAAACAACAATTTTCTACATTTGAAAGTGATTTGGATAAAATTTACCTGCTAACCAAATATTTCATCACTCAAACTACATTGTACTATCTTGTAACAACCTGATGCAAAATTTCAAGATATTTGTTAGCTATTCAATACATTTTAGATGCCCATCAGAGAAATTATACTCACATGAATGACTGTAGTCTGATCAGCTTCTTCTCAAGAGCAGCTCGTCAAAAAGCTGGACAAGTGAAGAATGTCTGATTGAACTGCTGCTTAAATAGACCTGGAAACACACCCTTAAACCCCAACTTGACATACAAGCAAAAAATTCTCCACCCTTGTTGGTCTTGAATTTGATGGCCCTGAGGTGTGTTCCTGCTCCGTTCCCCCAGAGGGACAGCGAGGTGAAACACTCTCCATGTGTCAGAAATCTGTGGCAAAAATGGTTGACCTCTTGACAGATGATTGATGACTACTCCAAAATATTGTTTCTTAGAAAATTTATGAAGAAAGTACGAGGAATGCACGAGTAAAGCTTTCAACATAATCTTAAAACAAGCTTTGCAACTGTTGTGGAAAAAGATTCTGGTCTGCAAAAATAATCTAAGTCTCTAAGTCAACCTTTTCAAAAAATGACAAAGTCTGAGATGTCCGAAGTCTTTAGGCAAAGCCGTTTTAAATCAAAAACGATCCGTGTCCACATTAACGTTTCTGAACACATCTCTGTCCACACTACACCACCAAACATGTATATCACGTGACCATTCGTGCATTCTGGGGTTGGGTGTTCTAGTATAAACAGGAAGCATGTGTCTCCCTCGGCATTTGATTATTGTTAGTCAACAAACGCCGGTTGAACAATGAACGCGATGGCAAAGAAAGCAACAGAGGTATTTTTGTGGACAGACAACAAGGTTGAGTTGTTACTAAACGTAACAAATGAATAACTGCACATTGGCACGTAAAACAGACAATAGTGCAAACAACGCTCCCATTTTGTGTCCGTGTTGTTGCTCACAGTGAAGGCTAGTCAGTTGTCTTACGGTAGCGTTAAAGCCATGTGTTATAGTCATGTGATAGGGGCTTGATGAATAAGGGAAGGATACGCAATGACACAAAAGCCCCAATCAGGTAGCGAATCTAAGCAGCCCCGCCTCCATTTTCAGATGTCTCCGTTTTCCCTCATCCACACTGAGACGGAGCAGCAGCGTTTCAGTATGAAAATGGCCTCTACAGCGTTTCCAAAACGCTCTGTTTTCAGAGCTCGAAAACTCCAGCGCAGTGTGGACGGATGGCTTAACCGTAGCAAAACTTACGAGTTTTCAAACTAAAATACATTAGTGTAAACGGGGCCTTAGTCACTCGACAGAACTACAGTTCGAACTGCTGTGGTTAAAACCCATTCTTAGATGGTGCCAAAACCCAGGATCTTTTGCAGTAAGTTTTCTGAAATTTACTTGAGCTGGTCTTAGCTGAACTTTTCACAGCTGACGTGGTAAATGGATTAAAACTGGACTTCTAACCACAAAAGTGTGTACGTCTGCTTTTATTGTTCCTCCATTTGCTTAATTTTTATGAAATAAAATTTACAAGACTGTAATTTGTTTCAATAGTTCTATTTGGTAAATTTCAGATAATTTCCTCAAGGATGGAAGGGTTAATTTCTAAGGAAATGATGAACCAAAAAACTTGAACCTACATTATGCAAATTTAGCAAAGAGGGACTTGAGTTAACAGACTCAGAGTCTACATTGTTTGCATGGTGGGATGTTATCGGCAAAAATGGAAAGAAATCAAAACGTGGTGATGTAATTGAAGTGCTAAAGTACATGTGTTACTCAGGACTGCTTAACGAGATGCCAGATACGTTCAATTACAAAGGCTAGATGTGAAGAATTTGATGATGTTCACAAATCAGAGGCAGAAAAGTCAGGCAAAAATTCTAGATCTCAAGTTACAGCTTGATCGTTTACTAGCTAAACAGTTAGCTAAAGTCAAAAAGACACCATTGCGATGCATCAAGCTTTGCTAAAAGCACAGAAGTTTGTCTCACAAAATGCTTAACAGCGGTGGGGTTGAAAAGCATGTTCACTTCTCAGATGAAGTTACTAATAAATCTGACATGATTTGATTTGAAGCTGCAGCTTAAAAGAGTTTGCCCATTTCAGTAGTCAAGGTGATGCCACACCATAGCTCAGCAAAGACGCATGGTGTAGAAGCATTAGAGAGTCTTAAAAACCCTCAAACCTCAGATAATCACAGCAATCAACCCTCAGGCAAACAAAACAGGCTGTGTATGACCTGTAAAAAGTTTGGTCACAGAGGAACAATGTTGGATATCACCTCAGGGAAGGCCTGCACCATATTTTCTGAGAAAACAGAAATTACTTAAGAGCAAAAATCAGTGGTCTTCACGTAGCAAAAACTCATCTTTAATAACATACTTGGTGAACTAACTGCATTAATACAAGGCCTGCAACTGTTAACTTCCTTTGCTGGCGGCTTAGAAGCCTAATAGCAATAAAAGTTAATAAGTGCTGATCCTGTTTGCATTTCCAAATTTGTTATATTTGTGTTATTCACATTTTCATTTCCATAGAACACAATGGTAATGTGTGATACTACATGTACACAGACTGAGTAATTCCTTAAAGCATGTTTTCTTACTGTAGGTGTAAAAACACTCAGGTCTGAGGTTTTAGACGCCACAGATGCATTCTAGATCGCATGTCACGTATAAAAAAGAAATTAACTTAATGCTAAAATTAATTTTAAGGTACTTGTGTTTATATATTGGATAAGTCTCATCTCCTAAAAGTGGTTAACTGTGCTATCCTCAATCGGTCTTTGTCAGTCATGTGCGTTTGTTGTGTGTGAGAACAGAAAACTGACCACCACTGTGGAAGTCCCATCACAAAAGAAGGTAGATGTTAACATACACACACATGCACAATATATCGGCGGCCATATCGTTATCAGCCGATAAATGCTATTTTTAAGATTATCGCTATCGATCCGATGTCTAAATTAAGCCGATATCTTTAAGCCAATAAATTATGTAATTGTACAGTCCTGCGTGCCGTGCATGTGTGGGCAGAACATGTCAAAAAATGATAAAGTCTGAGATCTCCGAAGTCTTTAGGCAAAGCAGTTTATTGTTACAGCATCAGTAACAACAGAGACAGGTCGTTCGAGTGTCTGCCGAACATAGGCTTACACACAGTTTAAATACATTTCTGTGTCTTAATACTCCACCCAAATTTACACATAACACACCTCCATCAGCTTCTCCGCTAATAGGATCTTAAATCTCTCAGGTGGGTGCGACTACATTTTGGCTGATGCGCATAAATTTTTAAGTTAGGAGCACCGGTGCTACCAAGCAAAAAGGTTAATTTCAAGCCCTGTATATACTGTACACACAAACACACACACACACAAACATACACATATACACACACACATACATATATATATATATATATATATATACACACACACACACACACACACACACACACACACACACACACACACACACACACACACACACACACACACACACACACACACACACACTAGGAATGCACAATATATCGGCGGTCATATCGTTATCAGCCGATAAATGCTATTTTTAAGATTATCGTTATCGATCCGATGTCTAAATTAAGCCGATATCTTTAAGCCGATAAATTATGTAATTGTACAGTCCTGCGTGCCGCGCATGTGTGGGCAGAACATGTCCAGACTTGTCCAGTGCACTATAAAGGAGCTCTCCTCACATTATGTTTTCAAAGTCTGTCCTTTCTTCATGTGGTATTGCTGTGCGTTAATATCTCAGTAAGTAACCATGTTCCTTATCATTGTAGACATGTTTGATTGAGTGCCATTGTGTATTTTGCTTTAAATCGCCTCAGGAAAAAATAATACACGTGTAAACATAACAGCAGCGATGCACACGTGCTAATCAACTTGTTGGGTTGTTGGTAATCTAGTATGATTATTTGTTATTATCAACAAGTTGCTTGTCATGTGTTGTTGATGAAAGATTGTATTCCGTTTGATCGGAATATTCAAACTGATTATAATGAGCGCACGTGAGGGATATCACCGCACACACACACTGATCTGACAGCCTTCACAGCAGCACGGGGGAGAGGTGCGGCAGACACTGAATCCCGCATAGGGGCTCTCAACTCGCCGCACATTCTGTCTTTACATTCTGCTCTGTGTTTGTCTGTAAAGTCATCTGCTCAATGCTCAGGTTTTGTATCAAAATCTGACTCCGAGGGCAAATCTGCGGCTTTCATAGATCATTTCTCCACAATTGACAGCAAGAACAAATGTTGTCTGACTGACAAGCAGCAGCTACATGTGTTGAAAAGAATGTAAAACGCCAAATAGAATGAATTTATGCCGCATCTTCTTAAGTAATACAGTCTGTATTCAGCTTTTCGCTTGTACAGTGGCTCTGAACTGTCAAAACACCTCTAAAAAACACTTTTTCGGAAATGACATATTTGTAAATGTGTACATCACTGTAACATGTTTTGTTCAAGAACATTTGAGCTGGTTTCAGTTCTTAGCTCTTTCATTTTCATTTTATTTAAAATATATTTAACTTGCTTGTTGATTAAATCCCATTTTGTTAATTAACCTATTATTTTCATGCAACAGTCAAGTTGCATGTTAATTTGCTGTGTGAAGAGAAGGAAATGATTTATCTTTTGCATGCTGAGATGGGAAATTATTAATATAGGTCTATTTAATCACCTTGCAATTTTAAAATCTTAGCTTTTTTTGCTTTGAGTATTGACTATTCAGTTCATAAGAGCAGTTCAATCTTTTATGAAGTTTGCTGTATAAAAATATAAAATTTTGAAATATTTGTAATTATCGACCTTTATATATTGGCTATCGGCCTTAAAGTTTGAAGAGTTTTCGGTTATCGATATTGGCAAAAAAAAAAATCCATATTGGTGCATCCCTACTCATGACCAGGCCAATAAAATCACTTTTTGAATTTAATTAGTAAAATTAACCAAATTTTTTTAGATGCAGCTATATATATATATATATATAAAATTATATTTCAGTTCCTTTTACTTTAAATATTTCAGTTCCTTTTGAACAATGCCATTTGATAAACACCGTTTCATTTACAGTCACACACTTTTTAACTCAATTATTTTATTATTGTTATTAATTTTTCATTGAACATTTACATTTCCTTATATAAAGTAAACCACATAATCTGGTACTGATTACAAAGTTACAGAAACTATGAAGCTATATGTCCATTTTCAAACTGAAAAGTTTATTTGAAAAAGACAATGTTGAGTATATTTCCTCTTTTCTAAATTATTAAGCAAAGAGGAATGAGAGCACAGACAAAACCTAATCATAGGTAAATGAGCTGAATCATTGCTGGGAAACTCAGAAGCCAGCCAGGAACAATCCATCTTGACATTACAGAGCTTTTTCAACTGTATTCACTTTGATATCAGTGTATGTGACTCCTTTGTATTGGCCCTTGGTTTTGTACTGTAACTCACTGCCATTCTTGCAAGTGATCTTCACTGTGCCAGTGTATGGCAGGTCAAAACTGGCTCTGCCAATGCTGATGTGAACATCCACCTTCTTCTTTGGTGGGACTTCAACAGTGGTGGTCAGATTTTCGTTTTTCTCATCTGTTTGCTCAAGACTATAGGTATTTTCAACTCCAAAGCTGACACTGAATCCGGTAGAAGCTTCAGCAATTTCTGGAATCCCAGCACTCACCTCCACACTGATGTTGACGAAAAGCTCTTAGTCATAGACCAAGAAGATGTTTTGATCACTTTCTTTGAGGTTTCAACTTTTTGCTCTTGCTGAACAGATGTTTTGTTCTCAAAACTGACTGACTTGATCTCCTCTGTGGCCACTTTTGGGATCAGCTGGTTGATGGTGGGATAGTTAACATTGGTGAGAACTGTTGACTGAACTGCATTGAGAAACACGAACCCCATGCAGTCGATGTCTGTACCTGATCTTCCCTTAATGCCAAGACAATAACCAGAGCCGATATCAATGGGACATTCTTCTTTTAAACTCCAACTTGACATCTTTACAAAGAACTCTCCACCCTTGTTGGTCTTGAATTTGATGGCTCCGAGACGTGTTCCTGCTCCGTTCCCCCAGAGGGACAGTGAGGTGAAACACTCTCCAGGGGTAAACACATACTCTTGATGTGGTCCAGATGCTACACCAAATGTTTCATTTCTACCATCTGAAAGCCAAGCCCTGACAGCCCTGATCTGCCATCCTCCAACCCAAACCCAGATCTTCTTTAAACTGGCACCACTTTTTTCACCAGTAAATGAAAATGGAGCACCTGATTGACTACCTATTATCTCTAGGTTTGTTGGGTAGGTCATCTCTGAAGTAATTAGGTCTGAAAATTGACATCAGAAGATTAGTATTAGAATTATCATAGATAAGATAAACTATATTATGGGTTATTACATGTATATTTACTCAAGAAGCTTCAATAAGCATAAACAACAATTTTCTACATTTGACAGTGATTTGGATAAAATTTACCTGCTAACCAAATATTTCATCACTCAAACTACATTGTACTATCTTGTAATTTACCTGATGCAAAATTTCAAGATTTTTAAATAGCTATCAAATTACATTTTAGATTCCCATCAGAGGAATTATACTCACATGAATGACTGTAGTCTGATCAGCTTCTTTTCAAGAGCAGCTCGTCAAAAAGCTGGACAATTGAAGGATGTCTGATAGAGCTACTGCTTAAATAGACCTGGAAACACACCCTTAAACTACTGTATGTGTCAGAAATCTGTGCCAAAAATGGTTGACCTCTTGACAGGTGGTTGATGACTACTCCAAAATCTTGTTTCTGAAAAAATGTATGAAGAAAGTATGAAAGTATGCGCTTTCAAAATAATCATAAAATGAGCTTGTCAACAAACTTTAAGCTGTCTAGCAAAATTGACATGGACATTTTAACTTAGGGCTTATTCACACTAGGTATTTCAAGAGTTCCCACTTAGATATGCTTAGCATTTAAAACAGGTTTGGCATGCTGTGCAAGGAGAGAACCCTGAGCTCGGAGATATTTGAGCCGAGGGCTCCCGCCCGGTCAATAAGCATATCCGGGGATCCGAGATCAGTGTAGAGTACAGTCCACAGATAAAATTACTTATTGATTTTATCACGGTCTGGGTTTAGTCGAAAGGACGGTTTACGACTCCTGGCTCCCAGAAGTCTGGATTTTCGTGACAGCTTAAAGGGCACCTATGGTAAAAAATCTACTTTTCAAGCTGTTTGGACAGATCTGTGTGTTGGTATAGTGTATAGACCGTCATACTGGGGTTATATGAACACACCCAGTCCTTTTTTTTTCAATTTAACCACAAAAAAAAGGGTCGGCAAATTGGAGCTGTTTTTAAATCGATCGCACCATTACGTAGGTGTGCGATCCCCCCACCCACCGAATTGATTGACAGCTGCGAGCATTAACATGTTCCGGTAGTCACGTGTATATGTCAACAAGACCAGGCAGACATACGCAAAGCAACCGGGAATAAAAGCTCTGTTCTGTTTGCTAGGATCTGCAATCATCATCAAATGTGATTAAGAGTAAGTTTCACATGTTTAAAGTGTTTTAAAACAGAGTATGTGTGTAATTAATTACAGCGTTTTACTTCAGCTTTACTTCATCAGCACAGCCACGTGTCAGAACAATTATAAAAGAAGACGCTTCAATCCCGGTTTGTGGAAGTTAAATCAGGTTTATTTTGTACATTAGCATAACAGATATCCACACAGTACTTGAGGTTAGCCTTAACTAAGCTAAGCGCGCTCTGTCTGCCTGCCTGTGTGTGTGTGTGTGTGTCATCTGTGGTGTGTGTGTGTGTGTGTGCGTGTGTGACTCAATGCAACTTCACAATACTGATTAGTAAAGGTTAGTTCTTACTGTAGTATCTCACAAACTCTACGTGAGACCTTCTTCCTTTAAGTCTGTCTGTTGTCTGACGCAGCTGAGGGAGGAGGCATGTAGTGGGCGAGGAAGTGGGCGGGAAAGAATCGTCTTAAAGGCGCAGAACGACAAAACCACCCCCTGCTGAAAATCAGTATAAAACAGCATCTTGTAAAAGGTATAATGAAAAATCTGATGAGTATTTTTGATCTGAAACTTTATATACACATTCTAGAGACGCAAAAGACTTATATTAAATCTGAAAAAAGGGGTAACCTAGGTGCCCTTTAAGTTATCCAGGGAGACTGAAGAGATGAGCCTGGAACTTCAAAGACATTCCTTTCTTACACGCACACACACACCTCCTCACACCCACAAGGACACTAGTCCAAAGAGAAATTGACTGAGAAATCAGGGACCAGCACAGAACTAAAATGTTATGCTTGCAAACTTTGTATCTCATTTCGGACTTTTCTTACCTGTATAACCCCTCAAATAACCTGTACGTGTGGTCCCTTTAGGCCTTTTTAAAGCATAAATAATGTGAGGATGGGAAAAATTATGTTGATTTACTTTTAAACCCCCCATGTTTGGTACCTATGGGTTTCTGCTGACATTTTACAACACATGATGCATAGAGCAAGATCATAACTCGCATTGCTTTATTCTTTAAATCCCTGTATTAAATGCCTGTCCGCATGCTTTGGGCGGACACTCAAATTTTCATACGAGCAGCCTCGAGACAAAGGAATGATTTGCACTCAAACTTTCCCCTGAAGTCATTGGTCAGAATGCTGAACGGGTTGTCACGTGACCCGCAGGTATAACCAGACTTCTCCCCAAACATCCTGCAGAGTAGTCCGAACAAAGAACCCATCAAAACGTGGCCCCTTGGAGGGCCACGCGGCTTTCTAAGCCACAGGGACTTTTCCCGCCACGCTTTCTTATTTTCCGGCAAAGTAAACTCAGTTTAAAGTTTGCGATCGTGTTCGTCCGAACTGTATTACAAACTCAACGCATCAAGTGGTATTATGTGAAGCTGCTTTGACACAATCTACATTGTAAAAGTGCTATACAAATAAAGCTGAATTGAATTGAATCAAGAAGGACATCAAAGGAGTTTCATCAGGAAGAGACCCGCATAAAGAGAGACCTCCAGACATAAAGTCCAGGGGCCTCATGTACGAAGACTTGCATGGAAATCATACTAAAACATTGCGTACGCACAAAGTTGTAAATGTGCGTACGCAGAAAAAAATTCAGATGTATGAAACACTGCGTACGCTGAATCTCACGCATATTCTTTTGTACATCTGAATGAACGTGAAACTGAGCGCAACATGCACGAGCACAAAACCCCTCCCTGCCTCCTCCCCCGTATGAATATGCTAATGACTATGCTAATAGCAAAACCCAACGGCAAAAGCAAGCAAGAAGAGAAGCTTTGAACAGAATGTGAATAGGAGGTGCTGCTTTCTGAGGTAGACCGGAGAAAAACGGTGTTATTTGCAAGTTTGTTCTCTGGAATTAACAACAAAAGAGAAAAATAGAGTGGGAGAGTTTAGCTGATGCGGTTAACACAGTTGGGTCTGAACATCGCACTGAGTGAATTAAAAAAGAAATAGTGTGGTTCATATGTGTAAAATGTTGCATTACCCTAAACAGTCTCAGTGGCGCAGCTCGTAAAACGCATGTCAACATGTTTTGACACGTTCGAGCATGAACTCGGTTCGAATCCAGCGTCTGATGAACTTTCTTCTTTTTTTCCCCCGCTACATATTAGATTTTGCCAACTATTTATCACGAGAAAGACAAGTAGGAATCATTAATAAGTCTGTGCATCATATTTTATTTGCACATTAATTGAATGGAAATGTTTCTGATTCATGCATGCAAATTCATCTTCAGATAGTGTCTTTATAGCAATGTGCGTGCTGTAGATAGCTCAGATTACATTGGGAAAACAGGCGACCGCTGCAAAGTGTGCTTTAATGTTTGGCTGGTCAACTGTATGATATGGAAACCTTACATACCTGCTAGATGAACCCGTCTCATACAGCTGCCATTGCAAGGCTCAGACACTTTGTAGAGAGGAATTTAACACAACTGCCTCTAGGAGTCGCCAATGGAAATAAAACAGACACGCACAAAAAATGTGCGTACGCCAGCCATAAAGCTGCCGTGAAGCTGCGCACATTCCCACGTTCAGTTCATTGTTAGTTAATCCAAACGTGAGAGATTCTGAGCGTGAAACCTGGCGTACACAAAGTTTTTGTGCGTACGCAGCGTTGATACATGAGGCCCCAGGTATTTTTAGTTATGCGAAAAAGCTGTGCCCCTTTTAGCAAAAAGGTGTTTTTTATAATCTTGGTGATCCTAAATGGTGCGTGTGGAACTGAAAGTTGTCACTCTTTTATCTGAAATCTCTATTTCCTCGCTTTACTATTTCTCTTTGTTGTTACACGTTCTGTAGACCCGATATCTCCACGTGTTTTATCTTTGTTCTGTGTTTAATGTATGTTTGTGCGTTTGTTTGTTATTTGTCTGACTAGTCAATAAATTCCATTATAATCAAGTGAATTGTATTGTTTGCCTCACGAGAAAATGTCACTGAAATACAGATTCCCCTGCCTAGCTATTATAAGTTGTTGAAAACTTATGAATGATTAATCTACTTCACAAGAAGTAGCAATTAAATTTCCTTTTTCTAAATGAATAGATTATTACCGTGTCAACTCGGAAGAGCGGCGGCTCTAGTTATGTTGGTTTGGTCAAGTTAACAATAAATTGATCCAGAATATTAATGATTAATAATAATTCGTTATTGTTGATCATTAATATTCATAATCTGAGAGTCCGCTCGGTCGAGCGGGCAAGATCACATACAATCATATGTTTGTTTGACCAAATTGACTGAAGCGTAAGCCAGAATATTAATAATTAAGAATAAACCGTTATTGTTGATTATTAATATTCATAAAATGAGCTAATTTCTGTTACATCAGGTAGGTCTCGATAGTTCCTCCTTTTGAAAAGGTAGAAAAAGGAGGAGATGGGGTGGAAGGGGAGTTCTTCCGAAATGAAAATAGGGAAAAAATGAGAAAGTGATCCATTTATAGTAAGCTAGGATCACTCGGATTGGATTATTACTGATTACAGGTGAGTGGCCAGCAGTGCTCAATTATATCATGTGCTCCTCTCGAAATTAGTGTATGAAACTTCACTAAGATCAAGTTTTCATCGATCTAATCGCAAGTGAACAATGCAAAGTAGTTGTGAATCATTTTGAGTTTGCCGAAGTTTGAGTTGATGTGGTAGAACATTTTGATCAGATTGCTCGTATTATGTATATGCACACATAGTCGAACAAGTTTAAATGGCTGTAAAACTATTGCAACCGCATCTTCTAAGAGTATTTATAAAATTTTTAATATGCACTAAAGAAGTAGGTACTCTACTGCCAAATCTCTAAGTATGAATGCGATTGTACGTCATCTGCTCTGTTTACATTTAGAGGTGTGAACCTACACTGGTCTCACGGTTCAGTTACGATTATCACGCCATCGATTCGGTTCAACTTGATATCTCAGTGCATCACAGTACATTGTCGATGCTTCCCATACAGATTTTACATTTTCTTCACAGCACATTTTTTGTATTAAAGTGTATAAATATATTTATATACTGTTTGTAATACAATTTTGTCCTTTAATACAAATTGTGGCTATAAACAACACAAGCTTTTATAGCAAATGAATATATAAATATCTTGCTCGCTTTCTG